TCCAAGAACTCTAAGTCCAGTTCGCATTTCATGAAATTGGCATGATGATGATCAAAGCATAATACTTCAAATGATGTGAACAAGCTGCAAAGAGATCTGACCTCTCATTATCTCTTATAAGTAAATAGTAGCAATTCTACCTTAATTGACAATGACTATTGTCTATGGATGCGGTACCTTAGATGCTTGGAACCTACTTCATATACAGACATCAACCGATTCTAATTGCGCGATAATCCACTCACCACTGGCTATCTAATGATGTGACTGAAACAGAATAAAGCTTGACTGGGATGCTAAAGTCTTTGAAAAACAATCGTTCAAATTTCTGTTAACGAACCGAGCGAGAACGACCTTAAAGAACGTTAAATGATTTACCGTAAGTTTTTTCAAGCACTCAGTGCTCATTATTATTAATTAACCATATACTGTTTGTAATTTAGAGCTTTTTGCTTGCTCTACCAAATTCCGTCCATTGCAAAGTTGAAATATTACTTAACAAAAAACGTCATTTTCACATCTTGTTTTTTTTTTTTGTAATTTACGAACTCCTAAAGGTTACCTGAAAAGCCATTTTGCTAAAATGGTATCAGTAGAATCACCCAGCGTCTCTCCTAATTTTTCCAAAAATGTGCAAATGTCGCTACAGGAAGACTGCAAAGCCTAATAAAGAAGGCATTTAGCCATCTTAACATTTCAGAGATATGTCTATCAAACTACATCTTCTGTGTTTAAGATCTGGTGATCAAAAGACAAATTCTTCGGTGCAATTTGGGGAATAAAGAGGCTATTGAGAACCTTTCAAATGAACTCCTCAAAACTGGGATACTTACGTGTGTATGAAGCGTCACCCAGTAATGATCATATTAAACTAATTTCTAACAGTACTGCAGGAACATCTTCTTTATAAGCGGACAGATATGAGCACGTTAGCAAGCTTGTGGCTATGTTTAAGGGCAAACGCTAACACGTTGAGTGCCGTTCTAGTCGACTTGATATTCCATTTTTTAATTTGAAAGTCGCAAAAACTAAATTGAGAGAAAGTGGCCGTGCTTTTAGATAAGGGAATCTCGGATCATAAGTAGA